TTTGAGTATTACGGACACTTTAATAATATTTGTTCTTCTAATCCATGAGCAAAGAATGTCTTTCCACTTCTTTGTGTCATCTTCAACTTCTTTCATCAATGTTTTATAGTTTCCAGAGTACAGATCTTTCTGTACTTTCTGGTTAAGTTTATTCCTAAGTATTTTATTATTTTTGGTGCAACTGTAAATGGGCTTTTTTGTTTTGTTTTAAGGTTGAATTTATTTAGATTAATAAAACACATATTTATCTTTCTGCTGCTTCATCATTTGTGTATAGAAATACAGCAGATTTCTGTATATTGATTTTATATCCTGTGACTTTACTGAATTCATTTATCAGTTCTAGAAGTTTTTTGGTGGAGTTTCCAGAGTTTTCTATATATAGTATCATGTCATCTGCAAATAGTCAGTTGTACTTTTTCCTTACCAATTTGGATGCCTTTAATTTCGTTTTGTGTCTGATTGCTGTGTCTAGGACTTCCAATACTATGTTGAATAAAGGTGGTGAGTGGATATCCTTGTCTTGTTCTAGACCTTAGGGGGAAAGCTCTTAGTTTTTCCCATTATGATGTGCACTGTGGATTTTTCATATATGACCTTTGTTATATTAAAGTATGTTCCCTTTAAAACTATTGCGTTGAGGGTTTTTATCATGGATGGATGTTGCACTTTGTCAAATGCTTTTTCTGCATCTCCTGAGATAATCGTAAGGTTTTTATCCTTTGTCCTGTTGATGTGATGTATCATGTTGATTGATTTGCGAATACTGAACCACTCTTGCATCCTAGGAATAAATCCCACTTGATCATGGTGAATGATTTTTTAAAATGTATTGTTGGATTCAGTTTCCTACTATTTTGTTGAGGATATTTGCATCTATGTAAATCAGAGATATTGGCCTTTGGTTCTCATTTTTGGTAGTGTCTTTATCTGGTTTTGGTATCAGGGTAATGTTGTTCTTATGGAATTAATGTGGAAACTATCTTTCTTCTTCTATTTTTTGGAATAGTTTGAGAATAGACATTAACTCTTCTTTATATGTTTGGTAGAATTTACCTGTGAAGCCATCTGGTAGTGGATTTTTATTTGTTGGGAGTTTTTTTTTTATTACTAATTTAATTTCATTGCTGGTAATTAGTCTGTTCAAATGTTCTATTTCTTCCTGATTCAGTTTTGGGAGGTTATATGTTTCCATCTGTTCTAGGTTATCCAATTTGTTTTGGCATATAATTTTTCATAGTATTCTCTTTTTTTTTTTTTTAAAGATTTTATTTATTTATTCATGAGAGACAGAGAGAGAGAGAGAGAAGCAGAGGGAGAAGCAGGCTCCCAAGGAGCAGGGAGCCCGATGCGGGACTCGATCCCAGGACCCTGGGATCATGACCCGAGCTGAAGGCAGACGCCTAACCATCTGAGCCACCCAGGTGCCCTTTCATAGCATTCTCTTATAATCCTTTGTATTTCTCTGGTGTCAGTTATTTCTCCTCTTTCATTTCTGATTTGGAGTTCTCGCTCTCTCTCATGAGTCTGACTAAATGTTTATCAATTTTGTTGATCTTTTCAAAGAACCAGCTCCTGGTTTCATTGATCTGTTCTATTGTTTTTTTAGTTTCTATATTATTTATTTCTGCTCTAATCTTTATTATTTCCTTCCTTCTGCTGGTTTTGGGTTTTGTTTGTTCTTCTTTTCCTAGCTCCTTTAGGTATAAGGGTAGGTTATTTGAGATTATTTTTTTGTTTCTTAAGGTAGGCCTATATTGCTATAAACTTCCCTCTTAGAACAGCTTTTGCTGCATCCCTAAGATTTTAGGTCATTGTGTTTTCATTTTCATTTGTCTTCATGTACTTTTTTACTTCCTCTTTGATTTCTTGGTCAACTCTTTCATTGTTTAGTAGCATGTTATTTAACCTCCATGTATTTGTGTTCTTTCCAGATTTTTTCTTGTGATTGATTTCTAGTTTCATACTACTGTGGTTGAAAAAGATGCATGGTATGACTTCAGTCTTTTTGAATTTGTTGAGAGTTGTGTTGTGGCCTAATATGTAATCTATTCTGGAGAATGTTCCATGTGCACTTGAAGAGAATGTGTATTCTACTGTTTTAGGATGGACTATTCTGAATATATCTGTTAGAGTCATCTGGCCCAATGTGCCATTGAAAGCCACTGTTTCTTTGTTGATTTTCTGTTAGGATGATCTCTCCACTGATGTTAAGTGGGGTGTTAAAGTACCCTACTATTATTGTATTAGTATCAAATATTTTATGCTTGTTATTAGCTGCTTTATGTATTTGGGTGCTTCCATAATGGGCACATACATATTTATAATTGTTATACCTTTTTGTTGGATTGTTCCCTTTATGATTATATAGTGTCTTTCTTTGTCTCTTGTTACAGTCTTTGTTTTGGAGTCTATTTTTTTAAATTAACATATATTATTGGTTTCAGAGGTACACGTCTGTGATCCATCAGCCTTATATAATACCCAGTGCTCATTATATCACATGCCCTCCTTAATGTCTATCACCCAGTTACCTCATGCCTCCACTCCCCTCAACCCTGAGCAACCCTTGGTTTGTTTCCTATGATTAAGAGTCTCTTATGGTTTGTCTCCCTCTCTGGTTTCATTTTGTTTTATTTTTTCCCTCTCTTCCTCTATGATCCTCTGTTTTGTTTATTTTAGAGTCTATTTTGTCCAACATATGTATTGTTACCCTGGCTTTCTTTTCACTGCCATTTACATAATAAATGTTTTCTTATCCCTTCACTTTTAATCTGCATGTGTCTTTAGGTCTCAAATGATTCTCTTGTAGGCAGCATATAGACAGGTCCTGTTTTTTTATCCATAGCAAGTCCACTTTTAAGAATTTATCCAGAAGATACCCCTTCAATAATACAAAAATATATTTGCATGGGTTATTAATCACAGCATTGTTCACTGTTGCAAATATTGGAAACAATGCAAATGTCTAAATATAAGAGAGTGGTTAAATAAGTTACATACATCTACACAGCTGTAGGAAGAAAAAACTACAAGAGGATTTCTATGAACTAAGATGGACTGTTTTCCAGGATACATTAAGTAGAAATAAGACAAGTGCAAAGGAGTACCTATTATGTGCCATCTTTTATAAAAGAAAGAGAAATAAAATATACATGTATCTACTCATTTCTGCCTCCCCCCAAAAAGATAACCTGAAACTAAAGATTACTTACTTATAGAAATAAGAGGGAGGGGCATGAGGTGGAAGGGATGATGGCAACAGGGTAAGAAACAGTTCTTTGAGTATAATTCTTTGTACAGTTCTGAATCTTAGAAACCATGATAATATTTCATCCACCAAAAATACAAATAAGTGATTCAAATCAAAGAGGATGAGAGAAGAACCCAAAATTCATACAAATAATAACAAATGAGTCTAACTCTATTACAAACTACACTACCCTGAAGGGGTTGGGGAAGAAAAGAGTAAACCTAAATAAGTTTGAAAACAGTATTTTGACTATGTGGTCTTAAGACTAAAGACAAAAGGAAATGTACACAACCATTGTATACTAGTTACTCACTTCCTCCACCCCCCAAAGGGGCATGAGTTAGTTATTTTGAAACTAGTTCATGTATCTTTTAGGACTGTGCAAACAAGTAAATAAACTTTGAATAATGAAAAGCAGATTTCTTACTGTCAGAGAAAGGAGTTACAAATAAGAAAAAGTATAACCGTAAGTAACTATTTTAATTTTTAGGGTTATCCTTGGAAAAATGACCCCAGGGTTGGAGCAGGGGAAGTATAAAATTAGCCTGAAACATCTTGTGGTGCAGGAAAAAGATGTGCTCAAAAAAATAATGGGCAATGTTGAAAGGACACAGAAATCAACTTGAAGAGACTCCCAATGGTCAAATCTGGGTCAATTTGAAGAACAAAATAAATGATAGTAAAGGATTAGAACATACAGAATAAAATAAATATCTATGTCTCTCTTTCTTTCTCTCTCTCTCTCTCTCTATATATATGTGTGTATATATATATATGTGAAAAAAAAGAAAACCTCTCTTCTTTACAAAATTTTAATTAATAAATGTCAAAAAATGATGGAAATAAAAAAATTCATTTGAAAATTAGTGGGTTAACATAGGATAAGGTACAGGGTATTTACATAGCTTTAAAGTATCTCTTTATAAGATACTAATTAAATACAAAGGGAAAAATAGTCCCTTTATAGTACAGAAATCCATTAGACACTACCTTAACCAAGTGATCAAAATTAACATCACCAGAAATAAGCTACATCAACATCATAGACTCCAAATACAATGAATTGAGAAAATTACAATGTCACTTCTGTGGCATTTATATGTATAATATGAATTTAATCATTATTGATTTAATCATAATCTAGATCCTGGACCATAAAATGGGCATTTATGGGATAATTGGCAAAAGTTGAATAATGTATGTAGATTAGTTAATAGTATAGTATTAATGTTAATTTCCTGATTTTGAAAATTGTACTGTATTTAAGTAAAATATTAATATTTAGGGAAGTTGAATAAAAGGTATATGGAAATTTTATACTATATTTTGTACCACTGTTGCAAATTCTTATTAATCTGAAACTATTTCAAGATAAAAATTAAAAAAAATACTAAAGAAAAAAAAGCATTTTAAAATCCTGCCATCCTGCACATTGTTAGAGCTTGGAGTTGAGGCCGCTGGCTGGCTGATGAACTCACAAGTGTAGGTGGTGTGCTACACGAGGGGCAAGACCACAAAGATCTCTGGCCCAATGAGTGGAGTTTGATAGTAATTCTTGCTACAAGTATAATTCAAATGTGTCAGCTTTAAGGAGAAATCCTTTTTTAAATGGTATTTTCTTTTCTCCATATTTCTTAACTGCTTGGGCCTCACACGTTACTGGGCCTTTTCGATTTTCAAAGCAACTTGATGAATCCTGCTATAAGGTCCTAAAAAGGGAGCTCACTCAGTGGGTCTGATGTGGCGGATGCTGGCCAGGGAAGTTCTGCGCATGCGTGGCACCATTTCCCGAGAACACCCATGGATGGTCATGCCTGATCTCTACTTCTACAGAGATCCTGAAGAGATTGAAAAGGAAGAGCAGGCCGCTGCTGAAAAGGCTGTGACCAAGGAGGAATTTCAGGGTGAATGGACGGCTCCAGCTCCTGAGTTCACTGCTACTCAGCCTGAAGTCGCAGACTGGTCGGAAGGCATGCAGGTGCCCTCGGTGCCTATTCAGCAGTTCCCTACTGAAGACTGGAGCGCCCAGCTGGCCACTGAAGACTGGTCTGCAGCTCCCACTGCTCAGGCCACGGAATGGGTAGGAACAACCACTGAGTGGTCTTAAGCTGCTCTTCCACAAAGGCAAACAAAATGGAAATAGAAATGGAAAAGGTTGACGTAAAATAAAGTTTGTAAAAAAAATAAATAAATAAAATAAAATCCTGCCATCTATGGTTATATAAAATTTTGTTTTTAAAGGAATAACCTGACACCCTCTCAAAATAAAAGGATATTTTCACTCAAAATAAAAATGTTAAACATTTGCTTTATGAAAAGCTAAAAAATATACATGGAAAGATATACATATATATTTTAAAGATTTTCTTTTAAAATACATATATATTTTAAAGATATATTTTAAAGCTGGGGGGGGGAGAGGGAGAAGCAAGCTCTCTGCTGAGCAGGGAGCCCGATACGGGGCTCATCCCAGGACCCTGGGATCATGAGCTGAGCCGAAGGTAGACGCTTAACCAACTGAGCCACCCAGGTGACCCTGGAAAGATATTTTTTTACATAAATTCTCCCACAGATCAGTATGTTCCCTCTCTCTGACTCATTATTTTAATTTTCCAAGTATTACTCATATTTTCAGAGGATATGATCTAAGTAATGATATAATTTTTCTATGGATAAACTCCTAGTGATTGTACCCAATGGTCATTGATTGTCTTACAGTCTAATTTTATGTATATATTGTTCTAGGCAACAGATGTCAGGGAGTTCCTTTTCTGTCCAAGTTATCAGCTGTAATTTAGCAGTAAAGAAGTGTTGGCGCACATGTGACAAGTACTCATGTGCAATTATGAAGTTTTCTTCTCTATTTCAGAAAGGAAGGTGAAGAACTGGAGAACAGGAAAAAGGCCTGGAATCCCTGCTGCTCCAAAAGGGTGAGGACAGTTTTGTCAACTATAAGACCCTTCACTACTCTGTGCTTTTTTCACATTCTTAGTCTCAGCTTACGTTGAAGCGTGCTTTAGTTTCTTAAAATATATTTATTTACAACAAGCAGCTAATTAGGATGAATGCTTTTTAAATTTCATTTTAATGAAATGTTTTGCTTTGGAGAACTCAAATAAAACCACAGCAAGTCCCCTGATTTTACCACCAGAGGGCATATGACATTAAGAAATACGGCCAACAAAGTCCACTTGCTTCTGAGATTCTCTGATTTAATGGTTTGAAATCTGTAGTTAGCCACGTCCAGAAATAAACTCATTCAGAAGACAAGTAACATATGTGCAGATGAGGACAGGAAGAGGTTAGGAGTGAAAAACTCACTTTTTTTTATAAGAATATAATCCTCAACCTTGTTCTCAAAAGTGCTCACCTACATTCATTTATTAATTACATTACTGATTTAGGTTAAACACTCCATTCAATATTGCAAAAGGTTGGCAGTAACGAATTGTGATGTTTCCTCTCCTGGTGATGTTTAAGAAAAATATTGGCTGGCTAATGCAATGGAATCTAGAAAATGAGGGATGAGCTAGTCCAGAATCAATGAAGCCAAAAGGTCTTTGAGTTCAATTTGCATATGGATCAGTGAACATCTCTGTAAATCAGGTCCACCCCCTCACTGTGACCAGTAGGTGCACATCGTGGGTCACAGAGGGCATGCAGAGAGAGTGCATATGCACGAGCATCCGGCCAGCCCCATGAATCAAAATGAGTGCTCATTCTACTGATGTTGGGTTGATGAGATCTCCTTACAAATATATGGTATTTTGATCTTGAAGTTAGAAATTACTTGGGAGTAAAAACAATTTAAATTTCCCTGTTCCTCCTACCATCATTCTCCCATTTCCCCCTTTCTTATTTCTATTTCCTTTCTCACCTAAGCCCCAACCCCCCCTTTTTTTCTTTGATTGGCACGTACATGGAAAAAGTGATGAATTATTGATTTTAATGGTTTAAAACTTATTTCAATTCTGCTAATAGTTGTGCTGAAACAGTCTGAATGGGCAGGTGATCTTAGGCGTGGACTTGAATCCAACTGGTCCCTGCATGAAATGGCACCTCACTCAGTCATTATACTGAGGTCACTTCCTCCACATTGCATAAAAATCTCTCATGCTCATTTCACAGATGAGCAATTTTGAGGGAAACTGTGCATGTTAGTTGGAATCAGTAGGATATTTCTATATCTAAAACAGTCCATGTTAGTTTGAGGATGGTCATGACTAATACTGCATTTGTACAGCTGAAATACCAGTGCACCACATTTTTCTCCCACGATGCTTCCAAATCTCTCTAAACAGGTAAAAGCAAACTAGAGAGCTAATTTTCTTGGCTAATTTAGCCAAAAACTGTGTATTTGTGATATATCAAGAAGGATGGTTGTCATCATCTGGAATGTTTTATATTATTCTAACATGTTTGAGATAATTGCAATGTTTCTTTTTCATTTTTTCACCTTCACCTTTATCACCTTCAGCTTTTTGATCAGTCTTTTATTATAAGATTTAGTGTTCCTCTTTAGATGTGAGTGTTGAGCCCTAGCTCTGATAGACGAAAATCATCTTTTGAATCTGCCAATTCTGACTGTTCTTACTGCTGCGATACCTTTGAGAACCAAATTCTTCTTTAATGAAGTTGAGTGGGTTTTAAAAGCAAACCTGCCTTCATCACATTTTGCCCCCCCGCCCAGGCCCTGCTCAGGGTGAAGCCCATGGAAATTGATACTATTCTTTTGCTTTGAGCATCTGACTAACCTCTATGAGTCCATATTGGACATGACAGAGAGAAAGAGACCATACCATAAGCTTAACAGAGTTCACTTTCCCATCCCCAGTCACTCATTTGTGTGCTCATGAATTATACTGTTTTGGGGAATATCCAAGGCTAAGTTAGTTTATATGTAGCAACTGTTTGTAGGGCAGCCAGATTTTGCTGACATCCAAGAATAGAATGTTAGGGTATACTGGATAGAACCTCACCCTAAGGATCCAGGTTGAGATTGAGGTTACACCCTCACACCTGGGTAGGCTTCAATATGTCCCCCAGGTAGCAGGGGTGGAAACATCAAATACTACCTAGATATATGAAGAATATGCAGCTTTCTTTATTTTCTATCATAGATTTACTCTTCCTCATAAACATCCACCTAACTGGGTACCAGGGGATGGAAAACACTCTTTTAAACTTGCCAATAATAGGAATTATTGTCTCTTCTCTTTTAAATGGACTCTTCTATGATGATTTTCTTTTGGATAAATGTTAAATCTTTCCTCTCTTCCTTTGCTCTTTCCAAAGATAGGGAGAATGGGGCTGATATGATCACATGGCAGCAAGATCAAGGCATGACAGCGCTCTTGATCCCCAGTGAATGGTTTGGTCCCCTCCCAGCTGATGTGTCACTGGGTCCACACTGGCCACTGGAACATTATGCTGGCACATACTCTAGTCCTGACCATTTGCCTCTGATGTGTCTTCTCACACTGCAGCAATTTGTGCATCCTCAGGCCTCTGCGAATTCTCTGGTCTTCTAAGCGCCAACACATCCACTCATTGAAGCCTAAGAGACCCCTAGAAGTCAAAGTTCTGTCTCATCCATATAGCCACTTGCCAAGGCCACAATTATTCCATCACTTCACATGTCTGAAAGGCTCTTTCCTCCAGAGTTTCAGGCAGTGATAGGGGAAAAATTGGACTCTTCTTTGAACTTTCTAAGCAGGATACATATACTGAAAAAACTGCATCTCTGATTCTCCTTCCTTTCTTCCTCAGCAGTCCACAGCATGGAAGGAAAAATATCCCATTACCTGTAAGGAACTTATTTTTATATCCTCTTTGCATACCCTCTCTTTTTATATCCTTTCTGAGGTGGTATTTTGTCTTTTTTTCTAAAGTCATAGCAGTGGACAGGTTGCAGAGAGAGAATCTAGTTCACCCACCAAGAAAGATGCATCTGGAGAGATTCCAAAAATATTCTCTCTGTCACACCTAACTTGTATATAAGCTTCAGTTTCCTCAGCCAAAAAAATGGAGAAAATAAACCTGGACCCACCCTCCAGGGATGAAGAGCTCTATCTCACTCTTGATATCCTTGTGGATAAAAACTCTAGGAAGTGGAATGTTATAGATCTATATTTCATAGAGGGTTTGCCCTCTCAAGAAGTCTATGCTAGTACACAATTCTACCTGCCAGATTAGCCATAAGACAGCATGTCACACACACACACACACACACAGAACCATTTTCTACTCATACCCTCCCTCTCTTTGGAAATGTCCTTCAATCTGTGTTAGGCTCAAACAGAAGACACTGATTAAAATTTCAATATAGTTACAAGTCTAGTGAGTTGACTTTTCTTAAATGATTCAAAAACCTTAAAAACACAACTTACAAGAACCTTTAAGAGAATTGTTCACTCAATAAATATTTTGTGAGCATCTACTATGTGACAAGTATTGTGCTGGGTTCTTGGATGCATCAGCGGTCAAAACTGACCCAAAAACCCACAACAAAACAAAGGAGGCAGGAGGAAACTTTTGGAGATGATGTAGGAGTTTATGGCACTGATTGTGGTAATGGTTTCACAGGTGTATATTTACCTCCAAATACATCAAGTTGTATACATTAAATACAATCATCCATCAATACAGCAGTTTAAAAAGCAGACTATGACCCTTGCTCTCATATTTGACAAGAAGGGAAAAGGATGAGAAAAAAGGAGGCAGATAAGCAATATACTTAAGGTATACATATATATAAGTAAATAATATTGTACATTAGGAGCAGACAAGTAGATTAATAGAAAAAGTGGAACACAAATTATTACAATGATTAAAGTAGTTATTGTTTTACCCTCACTTAGCATATTAAAGATTATTGACTCACTTATTCATATTTCTCAATTAACTTATACCTTCCAGTGTTAAAGTAACCTTTAACCAACAGAGAAAGAAATATTATCTCAGAACACCAAATGCTGCAGTTTGCAGGTTATGATCAATTAATCCTTAATCAAGACCTGGGGCAGGGCGCCTGGGTGGATCAGTTGTTAAGCGTCTGCCTTTGGCTCAGGATATGATCCCAGAGACCCTGAGATCAAGCCCCGCATCAGGCTCCCCGCTCAGCAGGAAGCCTGCTTCTCCCTCACCTACTCCCCCTGCTTGTGTTCCCTCTCTCGCTGTCTCTCTCTCTGTCAAATAAATAAATAAAAATCTTAAAAAAAAACAAAAGACCTGGGGCTTTGTTGAAATTTCCAGAGTGATTCAGACTTTATCCAGTGGCCATTTTTGCCTTCCCTGTCTGCCCCCCTCCTCTTTCTAGCATCACAGGGTATTTACAATGTCAGTGGGTCTTTTCAAGACCACATCTTTCTTTCTTTTCTTTTCTTTTTTTTTTTTTTTTTTTTTACATCTTTTACACTGTTCCAGTTTCTGGCAATCTGTCATGTTTTTCTGAAATGATATGTTCTTAAAGGTTTACTTGGCCAGCAAAACACACTGTTGTCCTTTCATTATTATAAATACTTTTGGAATGATTTGTTAGCATTATGATCAACTTATGACCCCTTGTTAGCATCTCTTGATAATTAGTCCAATCATCCAAGAGGTTTTGTTTCCTAGAAGATGAGAGATTGTGTTTACTCTGATTAATATGGTGAATCTATCTTCTTTCAACCCTCAATTTCTACACATGTATTCCTACACTGCTGGTCACAATCTTTCTTATTCTTGGTATACTTCTTACTTTTTCAGAACTCCTGGGATTACTCATAATTCTCTTTACCTTGCCCACATACAGGAAAAGTATATATTTATGTTTAATAAAGGACCATATATCCAATAAAAGAAACAGAACACTCACATATGCCAACACAACCATTCCCTTAAAATTAATAAAAA